GATGTACAAATGCGCTTTACACAATTGATGTGTGTATGGATTGGGATAACAGTTGTATGAGGCCCTAATAAAATGTTAAAAAAAATTTTTTTGTTTTCTTTACACTGAGTTGTTATCTATACTAGTCTTCATCAATAAGTGCCTCAAGTCCTCTTGGTTTTCAGCAAGCAAGATTGTGTCATCTGCATATAACAGGTTGTTAATTACTGGTTAAAGAGATGGAAGTCATAACAACAACGAGATGTGATCTCACTCCAGCATTGATAGCAAACATAAAAAGAAAAACACAAAACACCAAATGCTGGTGAGACTGTCGAGAGACTGGAACCTTCATACACTCACTGCTGGGGAGCTGGTAAAGTAATGCTCCACTATAAATGGTATGGAACTTCCTTAAAAAGTTGGAAATAGAAATACTGCATGAACCAGCAACCCAGCTATTGAAATAAGAGCCATGTCATATATAGATGTATGCACACAGATGTTCATCACAGCAGTCATAACAGTAAAAAGATGGAAACGACCTAAATGCCCTCAATGGGAAAATAATGGACTATGGTATGTACACACAGTAGATTCACAATGAATCTGCAAAACACCTTGAACAATGGCTGAACCCGGAGAACATTCTGCTGAGTGAAATCGGTCAATCACAAAAGAACAAATATTGTATGAGGCCACCATTATTAAGAAGCAAGAAAAGGTTTACACACAGAAACATTCTTTGAGGGTTACTCAGGGTAGAGAGAAATGGAGGGTAAAGTACCAACTGAAGACACATTAACGTGGGGAAGGAAAAGGCAATAAACAATAAGAGGGAGGTCAGCAAAAAATGAAGGCCAAGGAAGACACTGTGGGGAACACACGAGTTAAAGGGCATAGAGATAAATCTTGTAGACACAATCTTGTAGCAGCAATCTTGTACCAATAGATGCAATGGTAGGCACATCAGCTCAGCAAATGGGGTGAGGAGGAGACTACCCTCAAGACTGGGTTTGCATGTATGCAAAGGATATTTGCAGAGGATATTTCTATGCATGTATAAGTCCTGCAAATATATCCATGACTACAATAGGACATACAAGGTACAAAGCTATGAAAACTTTTTAGATACAACCGATTATCTTGAAAGAATGAGTGATTAGTCCTGGAGGCTCGGGACCATATTCTCAGGGGACATTATACCAAGGTCAATTTGCAGGTAACATAGTTCACAAGACGATGTTCTACAGCCTATTTCTGGGAGTAACAACTGGGGCCTTAAAAGTAACCTTAGGCACAAGTATTGATTTCTGCAGCGCACAGAAGAATGAAGATGCATGGAAACACTCCAATGGACTCTCCATGAACATCAGCATCCAGAACCCTGAAGCCAAAAGAACTCTATGGTGTTATCACTACAAATGCTCTCTGATAGGGCTCACAATAGGAGGTTGTGGGTGGATGGAGTGGGAGAAAAACGTGGAACAAAATTCAAAATCATAAGAAAGCCTTACAGAGTCCATGGAGATTAGTGAAACCTCTGTGATTATGGCCCCTGAGATTAAGAAATCACCCTTCAGGTTTAGGATTTAACTCACCCCCTAGGCTCACTTTTTTAAGCCAAAAAAATAGGTCTATAGAGTGGACAATAATTTAGAGGTAGGAACTCCTTAGAATAATCAAATATTTGGGATTAAAAGCTCCATTGACCCAAGAAAGAAGTTCATAAAGGTTAGGAAAGAAGAGGGCAGGGAAACAGGAAACAGCGTGGAAAGAATTAAGTGATGTTCCGTTGTAGTGATGGCGATCTATGACAGGAAGCCAAATGTGTAAGAGTTCTTGAATGGTAAACTGATTTGCTCTGTAAACTATTGCACCAATTCATAATAAAAAGCTTTTAAAAAAGAAAAGACAAGATAAAAAGGGTTGCACAACTTGAAGATGTAATCAAGGTCACTAATTGCAGTGCAGAATTATAAATTAACATACGTGGCACTGTGTATATTTTCAACATGAAGAAAACAAAATAAATTACTTTTTCTGAAGTCTAAGGTATACATGATTATGAATATACTTCTGAGAGAGACATTTAGAAAAAGTTGTTTAGTTGGGGTCCAGAACATCAAGGTTTGAATTTTAAAAATTGTAACGTATAATAAAAAGAAAATAGTAGCAAAATTAGAGATAACTCTAAATAGTGAGAAACATGATTTTAATTATGAAATTAATATAGGAGAAAAGTATTTGTGTGGATGATGGTTCTTTAAATGAGAACCCTTTTAATATCTTAAATTCATTGACAACAATGAATAAGTAGAAAGAGTAGAAGGGGAAAATACTAAATCGAATATTTTTTTTAAATTCCCCATATTTTCTATAATGAACATGTTGCCTTTATCAGTACTATTAAGTAAGTGCTTGACATAATAACAATAATTGGTATAGTAAAAGATATCCCAAAGCAGAGTAAGCATCAAAGTTCATTGAGTTTGTCTTCTGCCATCTACGACTGTTCCTAAGTGCCACATGTATCTACCTACATAGTAAGAACTAGAGAAGAGCTTAACAATACATGGAACTCACCAGCAAGATGCTCTCCCAAGACATCCAGCGAATAGGGAGTACTGCCCTGCCCTGGATCCGGTAGTAATCACCACTGTACAGGTTTCTACTCATTCCAAAGTCAGCTATCTTGATGGTGTAGTTTTTACCCACTAAACAGTTTCGTGTGGCCAAATCGCGGTGAACAAAATTAAGAGAGGAAAGATATTTCATGCCAGAAGCGATCTGGGTAGCCATAAACTTCAGGTTGAAATAACTAAGGAAATAGAAAAAGCAAAAATAAAGTAAACAGAAATCCATGCAATGCACACATAGTAACACGTCAGCATCCCTGTTCTATTGCATCTATTGTATTGAATCCCTCAAAGGTTGGCTGCTCCATTATCCACTATCCTGTATCCTCCCCTGCCACCCCAGAACACTGATGAACATTTAGGTTCACGACTCCCCATCTTCAGCACCTGGAATTGTGATGGAAGGCCTGATGTATTTACCTGACCATGGATCCACTGTAGGAGGAAACATTGGAGGGCTCGTGGCGGGAGAGAAACTGATTGAGGTCTCCGTTCTCCATGTACTCAGTGATCATGCAGAGAGGGTCATCGGTGATGCACACAGCTAAGAGGCGGATAATGTTTGGGTCCTTGAGCCGGGACATGATCTTTATCTCCTTAAGAAAATCATTCCTTTGGAGGACACAGATATAGATAAACCCAGTGGTTGCCAAAGTTAGACTCAACAGGGGGAAAGAATATGCAGCAAAGTTTTTTCCTACCCATTGCACTAAGCCTTGTTTCCATTCAAATAGCCTTTGCAAAGGGCACAGAAATTGACACCTGGACCTATCTCATTCTACTTGTCCTGGGATAAGGCTCATCTTGAGTCAACTGTGGCAGTTTTAAGAATAAGACCATGTAGCCCCAGTATCTAACACCAGTAAAAAGGGATGCGTTATTTGCTGAATCAAAATGAAACTTTTGGGGAAGCTTTTTGAAACATGGGATGGTGTAAGTTAAGGCAAAATAACAATAATAATATGCTGAGGGTTTAATGGGGTGGTAGGGTGGGGGTGGAGAGGGGATAAAGGCACCTGATATCAAGGAGTTCAAAAAGAAAAGAATATGTATTGAAAATGATGAGGGCAGCAATTGTACAAAAATGCTTGATTTAATGGAACTATGGATTAAGATAATATCTGTAAGAGCTCCTAACGTTTTTTTTTTAAATAAAACTTTTCACCAACAATGATAAGTGCACTGGGAATATTTACCTTTTTTATTAAAGAAAACATGGAATCATTCAACTAATAAATGAATAACCTTTTTTTAATGAGTAATCACCCTCTGGTAAACTGAGAATTCATGATTTTCTCATACTGGCTTTTTTCATATAAGGTACACCAGTAGTCAATTGCAACGTACATTTGTAGCCTGTTAAAAACAACATGACTTCAAGGCTCTGGTGGTCATTTCCCCCAAAAAAGCCTTACTTGTCCAAGACTCTTAACTATTTTTGGGTACATGGTAACAGCCACCCTTGAATCATAAAATGAGCCATAAATTTGCCAGTAGGAAATTTAGGTTAGTGAATGCCTTAGCTCACATTCCCAAGACTACAGGAGCAGACCCTTGATTTTTCTAACAATTTTACACAAAGTCATCCTCTACCCCTATAACCCCCTTGGAATACCTGAGGTCCCAATGCAAGATCTCCTCTTGCCTTCTCCCTACAGCCCCAACCAGGGGTTCCTGTGGCTTGACAGGACCCAGAAGCTAATCCATCCATCATTGCTAAGTGGGAGTTGGCACGCCAAATCTCATCAGCCAGAAACCACAGGTAAAGACCCTGGCAAATACTGATTTCCTTCTCATTGGCACTCTCTTCAATAATGAGCCAAGATTAATATTAGGAATATTCCATCTCTCTAAGGGACCCAGAAGATGTCACTTTTCATTCGCAGGAATATTCCTGAAGATCGAAATTCTCACAATTAAAATTCTAAAGCACCCCTAGATCCATTTCCTCTCCTGTATTCATTCTTTGTTCCATATTCGGTCACTTGCAATACTGCCACTGAAACTCTATCACCATTTGTGGAATTTATGATCATTTGGGGAATCATAATAATAAACTTATTCCCACTCTGAATATCAGTAAGACAAATCAAGCCAATACAAATGAGAAAGCGCATATGTTACCCAGATGTGCAGATTTCTCTGAAACATGTAAGACCAGCTTTCAAGTAGCATGCCTCTCTGGGTGAGGATTAACTCACCATTACTGTACCAGAAAGGCTGTCAGACAGCGGAGCATGGCTGGAAACTGCAATTGATGTAGTAAAGGGTTCAAGAGATTATTAGCCAGTTGGAAAAAATGGCTAAAGGATTGTTGATTCTTTTTGCTTTGAGGTCCATATGTGTTTATCCAAGTAGACATAGCTTCTCACTTGTGGAGAGCAGGGAGAGTTGCTGGACATGGAAGAAAAGGAGCATAAAGAGATAAAACGATGAGAAAGGAAGTAGAGAAGTCAAAAAGAAGAATGGAAGAGGCTTAGCAAGAAAGATGTGCATGTGCAAAGTTTGTCACGCCGGAGTATGTGTGTATAATGGTTGAAGAGGTGTGTATCTGGACTATTGTATATGTTGGGAAGTGTGGTGCTGTGCAAAGGAGCCTGGGAAGTCGATAGAGAGGAAGTAGAACAGAAAAAGTCAGGACGGCTGACTCCACTGGCGAAATAAAACATAACCATGGTAACACATAACAGCTCCCCAACCTTCCCATCACAAAAGAAAGAAAAAAATTTTTTTCAGGATTTCTCCTGGTGCTAACGATGAATCCCATAAAGGAAAATTCAAAATGCAGAACCACAGACCTGGCATTCTTGTTGGCATCTGCTCGGAGCATTTTCACAGCCACCAGGACAGGCTGGTTGGCACTGACATCTAAGGCAAAGTCTTTGTCTTTGAATTTTTCCATGCCCTCCACTTCACAGAGATGAACCTAGACAAAAGTCATCTAGTCTCAGCATCATCATGTCTCCTGAAGATGTCTCAGAACCGTGGCTGGGCACTTCCTGGCGATCAACTAACTCTGGGCAAAATCATCCCCAGAGCATTAAGAGGGAATGTGTTACAGATTGTCGATTCAAATCATTGATAAAAAGACTCATGATGCCCCCAGCAAAAATCATGTTACTGGGTGAAGAAATATACATGGGTGAAGGAATGAACCTAGCATAGTACTTTATTACAGCATAGTGTACTTTCTGTATACATGCTTGATTTTTAATTCAAGGAAATCTAGCTACTGGATTCTGCAAAGTATAAGGCAACTTCTCCTTTAAAGTCACCCCTTCGTAGGAATGAGTATTTGTGTGACTCCTACCCATCAGTAACAGGAGAGTAGGCTGACTTTTCAGCTCAGGCATCAGAATTAGTACAGAGCGCAGCAGGGAGACTTGGTGCGCCTCTCTAATTCCTCCAACACTAAATTTACACAAAGGAAGAGTATCCCACCCATACCGGGAATCCAAAGCATGGTTCTTCTGAAACTGAACATGACAACTGGAATGTTGATGATAGTGGCAAAGAGCTCACTAGGCACTTTCAATCGTGGCCTTGAATTCTCAGAAAGTTCACGAGACTGATGTAAGAATAAAACTCTAATATGACCGTGCGTCCCCCTGAGGTCAATTGAGACCAGCTCTCCTCTTTATCTTCGTTGATGATTCATTCCCTAGTGCACAAGTCTGAGACCAAAGGCAGGGTGAGGTTGTTTTGGACCATTTCACGTATAATTCTCATTAACAGGAGAAAAACAAAGTGTCTATCAAGCAGTAGGGTGTTCCTGGACAGCTCTTAAAAGATGAGCACATCCGTGGGCCCCACCCCTTTATAACCCATTATAATGTTTGAAAAACATGGAATCTTTTCCAGGATATCTGATACCTAGTGATGTGGCTGCTTTAAAAATGCTTGTGTAGACAGAAGGTTGATGACGAGGCTGGTGGGCCATGTAAGGAGGGAGAGGTGGAGGAGACATTCAATTCTGAGTCCACTTGTGGAAAAGTTCCTGAAGACCAGACATACCATTCGAAGGGTCAACTCACCTCCCCAAACTGGCCTTCTCCCAACTTCTCCTTGAAGGTTAAGAGTTTCCTGGGGAACTCTTCCACAGCCACATCTTTTCCCGAGAGCAGGTCCATGGTAATGGCAGGCACTGAGTAGGTGTTGCCCCCCGTCACGCCCTGGAGGTTCACTATGTCAGCCTCTGCATAGTGGGGCACCCCCTCAGGTCCATTGGTCTGGATAGGTTTCACAATGCCACTGCAACCTGCGAGGAAGCAGGAAGGCAGTGAGGGTATGGCAGGGAGCATCTTAGGAAACCTCTTCAAGAAATAACTTCTGACGGAAGGGCTAGCATAGTCCCCTAAAACAGCCCAGTCAATGCCATGACACATTCTTTCTTGGAGAAAAGTTTTGCTTCCTCTAGTAACTCTTCCTTGTGGCCTTAGGGATGTAGGCAACCCTTTTGTCTCCAATTCTTCTCTTCAAAACTCATGATCATTAAGCACCTCCCTAGCTAATCTTGCAGAATTATGCCTCTTTCCATTACACTTAGTGAAGCCATAGGGCGCTTCTGCTATGCGAAGGTGTCAGTAGTAGTGGTTTAGAGTTTAATTCCACTTTTCATTAATATAAGATAGTTTTATTAATTCAATCATCATAAGAACTGAAAAATATCTTCTATTAACTGTGCACAGTGGTCTTAAAGAAGAGTGGTACTTGGCTAAAACGAGAGGAGGGAGGAGGCTAGGGCAGAGTACATGGGGTTGGGATAAGGATTCCAGTGGAGACTGCAGTGATTCAATGTGCTCATCTGTGAAAGTGAATGTGGGTGTGGGAACCTGGTACGGGGCAGTGATTAGCATTGAATTGAAAGATTTAGAAATCTGCTATTGCCTTAACAGATAGGAGAATAGGATTGCCAATATGTTTTGTAAAAAAAAAAATACTTGCACAATGACAACTACATGACATTCTGAAAAAAGCAAAACCCTAGAGACAGTAAAAGACCCATGGTTGCCAGCAGTTCAGGGGGAGGGTGGAAGGAATCAGTAGCTGGGACCCAGGTCATTTTAAGTCAGTGAAACTATTCTACCTGACACTGCCATGGTGGGGCATGGGGTTATACCTTTGTCAAAAGTCATTAAGACCGAAGACTGTATAACATAAAGAATAAAACCTAGCCTAACCTATGGATTTTCATGAATAATGATGAATCAATATTAACTCATTAATTGTAATCAATAACCACAGAGATGCAAAATACGATAAGAGGAAAAAGTATGGAGGGAGAAGTGGGAACCTTTTTATATGCTGCATAGTTTTTCTATAACCCTAAAGCTACTCTAAAAAATAAAGTTTACTTTCAAAAATGTTTCAATAATAACTGTGCACAATCTAGTTTAAGATATATCCTAATTTTTAAAATGTTAAAACATGGTGGGAGGTGGGAGGTTTTGGGCCCAAGACCAGAAAAAGCAACTCTTTGGCAGTGAGTCCGTTCTGATTCATGGCAACCCTATAAGACAGAGTAGAATTACTCCTGAGGAATCTGCTCAATGGCAGTGAATGTTTGTTTGTTTGTTGAAGGGTTCCAAAACTGTAAATCTCTTTAAGAGCAGGCAGCCTCATATTTCTCCCATATAATGGCTGGTGGTTTTGAACCACCTACCTTGTGGTTAGCAACCCAATCCATGTCCCACAGCACCACCAGGGCTTCTTGGACCCCAGGGGTCAGGTATATTTCTTTGGTTCAGTTTAGGAAATAAATTAGTTTATATCTATTTTTCTTGCTGCCCCTGTGAAATTGCCCAAGTTCACTGTGCTCCTTCAACTTTTGCTCCATTGGGGTGATAAAGACAGGTACGTGTTAGTGTCCTTTCTTCCTTCAAAGAGTTCCCCTTAAGACTAGTCCTTGAATAGTGAATGATGGGGCGAGTGCAGAGTGGAGACCCAAAGCCCATTAGTAGGCCACTGGAGATCCCCTTGCAGAGGGGTCTCAGGGAAGAGATGAGCCAGTCAGGGTGCGATGTAACAACGATGAAAAATACAACTCTCCTCTAGTTCCTAAAGGTTTCCTCCCCACTCCCACTACCATGACTCGAATTCGACCTTGCAAGTCTGGCTAGACCAGAGGATGTACACTGGTACAGATAGGAACTGAAAATACAGGGAATCCAGGGCGGATAAGCCCTACAGGACCAGTGGTGTGAGTGGTGAAACAGGGAGGGTAGAGGGGGAGTGGGTCCAATTACAAGGAACTATATGTGACCTCCTCCCTGGGGGACGGACAACAGAAAAGTGGGTGAAGGGAGACGTCGGACAGGGCAAGATATGACAAAATAACAATTTATAAAGTATCAAGGGCTCATGAGGGAGGGAGGAGCGGGGAGGGAGGGGGAAATGAGGACCTAATGCCGGGGGTTTAAGTGGAGAGCAAATGTTTTGAGAATGATGAGGGCAATGAATGTACAAATGTGCTTTACACAATTGATGTGTGTATGGATTGTGATAAGAGTTATATGAGCCCCTAATAAAATGATTTAAAAAAAAGACTAGTTCCTTGAAAAGGCTGTGGCCTCAGACTTGGTCGGATCTGCTTCTAAGCTAGCTTGGGTTGAGCTTCTCTGGAACATCACAAAGTTGTCTTTTACTGATTCGAGTCACTCTTGGGGTTGCTGATCCAATGGCCAAGCTTCAGTGATGACTCTGATATCCCTTTCCAAGGTCACTCTGCAGTACTTTTGAAAAAGACATTTGAGGTTTGGAGGCAATAGCACTGTTTTGCCAAATCAGTGCCTTTATTGAGAAAAGGCAAGAAATATTTACTGTCATAATAAAATCTTACATCATTTTAATGACTTCTTACAAAACAGAAGCCAAAATTTTTAGAAGTAGATACCTCAGTGATCTAGATGGCTACAAAAATGAAAATCCCAGAATATCTTTAGCGTCATTTATTGTTTTTCTTTTTCTTTCCAAGTGAAATTCTATTCCTGAATTTACCCCTCATGATCTATCCTCCCCATGTAGAACATGAGGATGTTGGAGTAGTTTACATTCCGCTGGCATGCACTCCCTAGTCACACAATTTCTTTTCTTCCTCTTCTAACAGGTGGGTTTCTGCAAACACTGTTGTTTGGTCATAGGAGAGAGGCGTGTCGCCTAGACTCGAAACTCTCGAAACCAAGTCTAGACGGAGCAGGCTGACTTCTCAGAGATTTCGCATAGACTGAAAGTAGATTTGGTTAACTGGGAACAATAACATTATATCATCACAATGCTTGTCAGGACTTCCCCCTCGGTGTTCTGCCCACTCTTTCATCCTCACCTGATTCCTCCTCCCCTGGAGCAAATTCTGGGAGTTTCCGGATGAGCCTGGAGGGCTCCTGGTAGTCAGGCCGAAGGGGGAAGATGCGATCATAAGTCGAGTTGGACTCCTGCTCGCTTGGAGATGAGGAGCGGTTATTGTTGAACATGCTGGACTCACTTGGCAGGGAAAGGCTGACTGTCATCTCATCATCCAGCATCCTTCGGGAAGCCTGAAAGAGGACATGGGGATGGGACATTCTGAGAGGCAGAAAGCAATATGGCCCTTCTCTGGGGTTCTGTCTGCCCCTGGCGGCAAAGTGGGTTATGCGCTGACCATGAGGCCAGTGGTTCGAAATGACCAGGTGTTCCATGGGAGAAAGAGGAGACTTTCTACTTCCATAAAGGCTTAGTCTCAGAAACCCTCAAAGGCACTTCTACTCTGCTCTCTAGGGTCACTGTGAGCCAGAGCTTACCCGTTTTGTCCTTTCACTTATAGCCTTTTTTGTTGCAATGGATCTGCAGTTGTAGGTAGAGCATGCTCTCTGTGAGTTTTGTAAGTTGTTCCAGTGACTCATCAGACCCAAAGGAGCAGGGAGAGCTGGCAAGGGCTGAGGTTTGCCTATTTGGCAATCCGGGCTGTGTCCTTTTAACTTGTCAGCTCAGATCATTAAGTAGGGCTGGAGAAGGGCTGCCTGGGCAACTCATCTGAAGGACAATGAATATCTAACTTGTGAGCTCTGGCCCAGTTTCAGGCGACTAGGGTTGGAATTATTTGGGTGAGAGGAGGATGGAGTTTGTTATTTGGGTCGTAGGAGGAGGACGGAGACAAAGACAGCGAAAGACTGGATCCATATCCACATGCTGAGCCTTATCACAGTTGGCAACAAAGAAAGAATTCCAACTTGCTTATGTATTAGTGCAAGACTGTTGGCACAAAGGGCACCGTCATTTCCCTTTCAGTATAAATCTCGACTCTTCTACTCAGATGAATTCCCCTATACTCCTAGTTAACTCCAGAAACACTGAAGTGATAGGAATGCAGTTAGGGTCCTCAAATACCTGTATTGTGGGAACTTAGGCAGAAGTTTACTTCCTAATCTTTGTGCTACCAACCTTAATTAATATCCCTTTGAAGCATTTTCAAGCATTATTTATGTAACACTATACAAATCTATCAGCAGCAAAAGATCTCTTACCATTTTCTATCACCTGTTAGTCTTCTGCTAAATTTTATTTGATTTGATGTAGACATGAGTTAAAATGCTCATTGGCAAGTGTAACTATAACATTATGAGCCAGTCATTCTTCACCTGGTAGCACTTCATTACTTACTGACTAGAAAATAAGATAACTTCAAAATGGGAAGAAAAAGCCCTAGGTGTCAGGACATGTGGTGAAGTGCATATAATATGGGGACAAGAAAAGTAAAACAACTGATGGCTTTGGCATCTCTCTATGTCCATTCCCGTCTCTCAGTTTGCCACTCTATGGTAACTTGGATGCTACCATGATGCTGGAAGCTATGCTACCAATATTCCAAACACCCTTGGATCACTTGTGACAGACAGGTTTCCCTGAAGGTTCCAGGCTAAGATAGTAAAGAAAGGTCTGGTGATCTAGCTCCCCAAAGCAGATAATAAAATTAGCCAAGAGCCATAACAGAATATTGTCTGGTATTGTGTTGGAAGATGAGCACCCTGAGTTTGACAACACTTATAAACAATAACCAAAAACACCACCAGCAAGTCCATTCCAACTCACAACTACCCTATAGGATAAAGTAAAACTACTTTATAGGGGCTCCAAGGCTATAAAGCTTGACCGATGCAGACTGCCACATCGTTCTCCTGTAGAGCAGAGCTCCTGACCTCTCAGTTTACAGCTGAGTTCTTAACAATGGTGCCAATCCTGGGGTCTTAAAGATGTGAAGCTAAACAAATGGCCATCTAGCAGGGAAGCAACAAAGTCCACATGGAAGAAACACACCAGAGTTATCATGAGGTGTCAATGGGATCAGGTATCAGACATCAGAAGACCCAAAACAAACAACCATTTCAATGTGAATGAGAGGGGTTGAAAAGGAGGCCCAAAGCCCATATGTAGACAACTGGTCATCTCCCTCACAGAAGGGTCACAGGGAGGGATGAGCCAGCCAGAGTGCAGTATAGCACTGGCGAAACACACAAAATTCCTCTAGTTCTTTCACGCTTCCTCTTCCTCCCACCCTGCCCCACTCTATCATGACCACAGTTCTATCTTACTAATCTGGCTAGACCAGAGAGCATGCACACTGGTACAGTTAAAGGCTCTCAACACACAGAAAAACCCCACGGACTCGAGATCCCAACATGTGAAGATGGCCCAAGACCAGCCAATCTTTCATTCGGTTGTAGATAGGGCTGCCATGAGTTGGAACAGACTTGACTACAACTGACAAAAACAACAATCGAACATGACCTACATGCTCCTTCAACAGAACAATACCAGCGTTTGAATGTAAGCGACTATTTGGATGTAAGTGTAAAATGCTAACCTGCAGCAAACAGGCAATGAAAAACTCTGTTTTATCCATTAGTCTGAAAGGTCTTTTGTCTCAATAGCATCCCAATGTGGACACCATAGCCCAGCAGCAGACCAAACCTAGGAAGAACATGTTGACTTCTCAGCAATTTGTTGTTGTTATTGTTGTTGTTAGGTGCCATTGAGTTAGTTCTGACTCATAGTGACCCTGTGTACAGCAGATCAAACCACTGCTCAGTCCTGTGCCACCTTCACAATTGTTGGTATGCTTCCATCCTTTGTTGTGGCCACTGAGTCAGTCCATTTTCCGGAGGTCTGCTTCAGTAAAGATTTGTAGCCTTGGTAACCTTTTGAGAAAGCTCTACTCTGTCTTACACAGTTGCTAGGAGTCAGAATCAAGTCAACGGCACTGGGGGAGTTGGTAAGCAGAAATAACCTAGTAACCAATTGTATAAAGCAACAGTGAAATTAGACTCAAGGACACACGTTATTGTTAGGTGCCCTTGAGCCAGTTCTGACTCATAGTGACCCTTTGTCCAACAGAAAATTGTTGTTGATGTGTTTGACCCCTTGTTGGAGCCTCTTTGTTGATCCATTTTGTCCAGGGTCTTTCTCTGTTTCTCTACCCTTCTATTTTACCAAGCATGATGTCCTTTTCCAGGAACTGTTCTCTCAATAGAATCCCCCACGTATGTGAGATGAAATCTCACTATCACCACTTCTAAGGACTATTCTGACTCTCTTCTTCCAAAACAAATTTGTTAGTTCGTATGACAGTCTGTCCTCGTATCGTCAATATCTGTCCCCAACATCATCAATCAAAAGCATCAATTCTTCTGCAGTCTTCCTAATTTTGCAATTTTGTCCAATTTTCAAATATTTATGAAGTGATTGAAAACACCATGGCTAAGCGTAGATACACCTTGCCCTTAAAGTGACATCCTTGATTGTCAACACTTTAAAGAGATAATATTCATCAGATTTTGCCCAATGCAATACGGCATTTGATTTCTTGATGGCTGCTTCCAAGAACATTAATTGTGGATCCACTAAAAATGCAATCCTTGACAATTGCACTCTTTTCTCCATTTGTCTACTGGTCAATTGTGAATATTTTGCTTTTCTATATATTGAGATGCAATCCATACTGAAAACTACAGCGCTTGATTTTCATCAAGTATTTCAAGGCCTCGTGGCTTTCAGCAGGCAAGGTTGAGTCATCTGCATATCACAGGTTGCTAATGAACCTCCCTCCAACTTCTTTCAGCTTCTCAAATTATTTGCTCAGCATACAGATTGACTAAGTGTGATGAAAAGGGTGTCATATCTTCACAATGCTTATCGAGACTTCCCCCCTCAGTTTTCTGCCTCATCCAACTCTTCGTCCCCTGGAGCAAATTCTGGATGTTTCCACACCCATGTAGAGCACATATCCCAGCACATAATAAGTACTCAAAGTGGGTTGAATCTCTCAAATACAGAATGCTGAAAATACCATCAAGAGGATCCTATGGCGGGGGGTGGGGGTGTGTGTGTGTGGTTAATCCAAAAAAAGAATGCTATGCTCTAAAAGCATGTCAGGTAATGTTTCTTAGAACATATGTGGGTACCTGGGGGCTTTCTACAAAAAGTTCTGTCCTCTGAAAGAAATTCTGGGTGTCATTCTAGGGTACCTGAATGTGTGAGTATTTGCTTCAGGGAAGAAAGAATTCCTGTGAAGGAACAAACCAAATGTTATTCAAGAGCAAAAATGTTGCTCTTACTTCTCTTGAGAATCTCCAATCCACCGTTTGTAGCCTAACCCTGAATGTATCCAATAAGCCTCCAAAGGAAGACCCATGGAAAGATGGCAAATTTGAGCTCCAAGAAAGGTAAAATAGCTCAAAGAGTGGAGAAGTGGAGAACACAGTCCCCACCCACAGGCCAATTAAAATTAGTCAGTTAAACTACTCATTAATGACACATCAGCTTCAAGCTACCCAATGAGCCTTCATCTTCATCTCTCTCCCTGCTGCTCTTTACTCCTTCTCACCATAGAACACCTCATTTAGAAAACCCCACGTGTTCAAGGGTTTTTAAAAAGGAAAGGACTTGCTCTTGCCTCATGAATACCTTGAAACACACCTGTGTCGAGGGACAAGCTCTCTATGGATTCTACCTTTCAGGGTTCAGCATTGTGTTTGGTAACAGTGTTCAGATGGATGGTAGAGTTCTTGCAGGAAGCATGGTGAACCCTTCAGGGGAATATCCTTGCCTAGAAACCCTCAACCACCCCAGGAAGCTCCTTCGGGGGTAGGTCAGAAAGAACTGCATGATGCTTCTCTTGACCGCTCCCCTCAGCTTTGATTTCAGTCCCTTCTTTTCTGTCCTACATCCAAAGAGCTGCAGAGATCCAAGCTCCTTTTCACACTGTCCTTTCTCATTCTCTGGAATAAACTCTACACAGACATTGTTCTCCCCTGAGAGCCTCCCCTAAACACAAAGATCAATCATGGCATGCCCTCTTTCCCATTCCTCACCCTTGGCAGTCAACTCAGAGCCTCACAGCCCAGATCTCCTCTGATTTCTCATAATCCAAGCCTACTGAGAGGAACTCACTGACCAGGAGGTGTCCGTCGCAAGAAGAGGGTCAGGCATTTGCAGAAGTTCTCATGGGAAGTTATATCTGGCCCAGGAAATCAAGAGAAGTCATAGCCTTCCCATCTTTGGAGGGATGTATATATTTTGTAGGAAAGAAGTCAATGTACTTCAAGATTGGCCAATTAAAAAGAGCATGGGACTTTTGTTGGTGTTCTATCCTGTTTGTATGATTTTCTGTATACGAAACCCAGGTTAGGTAAGTAAGTCTATCAAGACAACAATTCGATTAATAGATTCAAAGGGACATGACAGGGGAGGCTGGTAGGAAATAACTTGAGTTAACAACAACAAGTACAAGGAAGTAGAAATGTCCTGGGATTGATCGTACTGGTAGCTGCATAACTCCTATGAACGTGATTGAACTATTGAGACATATGTGATATGAACTGTATGTCAGTGAAATTGTTAAAAACAAACAAAGTAGTTTTAAAAAGGAGCATTGAAGACCGAATACTAGTTGTATGGCCTCAGGCACATTACATTTTCTCATCAGAAAAAATATATAACTAATATGCCCACACCTTTATTATTTAATGAGGTTCAAAACTCACTACCGTGGAGTTGATTATGATTCATGGTGACCCTGTAGGGCAGGATCGAACTGCCCTGTGAGTTTCTGAAATTATAAATCTTTTTAGCAGTAAGAAACCTCATCCTTTTCCCAAAGAGCATGCTGGTGGTTTCAAACTGCTGGCCTTGAGCTTCACAGTCCAACATGTTACCACCATGCTACCAGGGCCCCTGGCAATAAGGTTCAAATCAATATATATGGAAAAACTCTCTGTACACTGCAAAGTGCTGAAGAAAAGTAATACAAATCATTCAGATTATCTGGTCCAGGAAAGTATATTTTAAGGAGGACACATAATCATGACTGTCAAGTACACAGGAGGAGCTTTGGTGGTAGACTGCTAACACATCAGGCTGTGATCTTGGCAGTTTGAAACCACCCACAGCTCCTCAGGCCTCTCTACGCCCATAAACAGTTACAGTTTTGGAAACCCACAGGGGGCTGCTATGAGACAGCATGGACTCGATGGCAGTGAGGTTGGTTTTATGGATCAAGTACACGAAGATGTAGGAATAAAATAGTGAGAACTTTTACTTGGATATGAATGATGCAAGTACAAAACAAATAAACCAAAAGAAGAAAAGGAACATCAGGGCATGGTCAGAAATTTTAGCTAGGTTTGGGGAGTGTTTCTCAACTTTTGTGGTGCATCATAATCACTCTTATTTTTTTTATACATATATCTGTGCAGCATCCCACACCTATCTCTTAACCCAGTAGTTAAACTCTTCCAGGAAGATGTTGTGGAGAGAGTTAACGTTAGGAAGAGTTTTCAGAATAGCGTTTCCTCACCTTCTCCAGCATTTTCTGCCAGAATTGCCTCCAGAGGATAATGATAATAATAGCCAGAAGAATGAAGATGATGGCTACCAAGCAGCCAATCAGAATGCGTGTGTTGCTGTCATCAACTTTCAGCATCGGATCTGTAGGCAGGGGGAGAAAGACGGGAAATAGAGTCATCGAATGAAACAAGCAGGGACTAGCTAAGAGGCAGGAACCTAGACCCTGCCCCTTTAGGATACTTTCAGAAGACATCACCTAATGACTAACATTTGTTCTTGGACTTCTTATTCTTTTGCTGCTTTGTTTCTGTCTCATACAGCCCTCCTTCATGGAACATTAACATTCCACCGCTCACGGCTCAGATCGGATTATGGAGAATCTTTCTGTTCTGCCCACAAGCCCTGAGAAACATCTCATGGCAGAGAGGTTGAGGGCCCAGTTTAACTCTTTGAGTTCCTTGAGGCCTGCCAAGGAAGTTCAGTGTCCTCTCTGGAACATTCATTCATGTTTCCCAGCTGACTGGCTCTTAGTGCCAGGAACCTGGTGAGGTGATGATTATAGTTGTGCATACTTATCTCCAGTTAGAGATACCAGCATATTGGTTAATAGACACACTCGTTCATTGAGATCCCCAATTTGGGACTTAACAAGATAGATTCTTTTCTTGTCTCGGCCTCAGTTCCCCAAACTGTAGTGAAGTGATCAGACCCAGCCTGGCTTCTCCCTCAGCTGAAGTATCACATGAGCCACCAGTGAAGAGCGTGAGCCTGGGCCCTGTCTGTGGAGGTAGACTGGCCTACTTTTCCAAGGCGGCCCCTTAGCCAAAGCCACGCTACACTGTCTGCTATAAAGATGGGTCTTTTGCAAATCTGCACTGTTCATCTTCCAGGAGGTCCCCTCAACTGAATGTCTGAAAGTAGGAATCACACATACCATAGGTTGTAGGTGCCACAGGAGACGTGGGCAGGGCTCCAGAATTGTTGTACATTGCAGCATCTGTTAGAAAACAAAGGTGATTCCGAGCAGAGGAGAACCAGCTAGCTAGGAACTTTTCTGACAGTACATTCTGGCCTAATATTTCACAAAGTCAATTTAGAGGGATGCAACCAGCCTTTATCTAAATGAACTAAAACATTAAATGACAAAGCAACACTATGTGTCATTACATAGCATCATTTGGCCATATAGAAAAGACAAACTTTCTTTCATAGGAGTTTTTGTAAATTTTGGCTTCAAATATTTTAAAATGTACATCAAAGTAAAAATTGAGATGTCTGCAAAATAAAACGTAAAAGTGGTCTGAGGGTTTTCACCACACATTCCCATAAAGCAGGCATAGGTAGTAGACCCCAAATTAAGCAAAATGTGGAGAGATGACACTGAGGAAGTGGGTACAGGACACAGTACAATGTGTGCGCTCTGTTCTTCAAGAAATTACATTGTTTTATAGAAGGGTTTCCACTGTACTTGAGAGCCTTTGCCCTTGGAGTACCCTTCTGCTGACAGTGAACCCTAAAAGTTTATCTGCTAAATTGTTGTTTGCAAAAGTTTTCTTTCTTTATTGTCTAATCAAGGCAGGAAAAATAAAGCATTCATTTCCATTTGAAAAGACATTTCCTCAAAAAATCCTAAATTTTCTTCTTCATAGCATTATGAGGAGGTATCAGGCATCTACATGTACTTGTGTGAATTGAGTTCTCAGGCTGCCGAGGAAATGAAGATAATGTTGACATTGCCTTTGATATTCAAGAGATCCCAGGAGTCAAAAACTATAGTCCACAGCTATAATGAGTTGTCCTAAGGTAATAAGTCTTCCAGGAGGACTTATTACTTACAAGGTAATCAGCCCGGTTCTTGAGCATCTAAGCTTCTTTTCTCAATAAAAAAAATCTGTACCACGCACTGTTAGATAAACTCTTTAGCACATAAGGCATTTGACAACGAACCTTGTTTTTCAAGCATAAGCACTATTTCCTTATTGTTATTGTTAGTGCGAATGAGTTGGTCCTGACTCATAGCAACTTTATGTACAACAGAACAAAATAGGGCACCTGCCTATGCCAGTCTCCTGATTTTTCTTATGCTTGGGCCTATTGTTACAGCCACTGGGTCATCTCATTGAGACACTCCCGCTATTTCTCCAACCTTCTATTTTACCAAGAATAATGCCCTTCTCCAGGGAGTGGCCCTTCTCCAGGGAGTGGTCCTTCTTGATAGCATGTCCAAAGTACTTGAGAAAAAGCCTAGCTGTCTTCACTTCTAAGGAGGATTATGACTGCACTTTTCCCAAGACAGATCTGTGTGTACCTCTGGCAGCCCGTACTATGTCCAGTACTCTTGTCAACACCATAATTCAAATGTATAGATTCTTCTCTGATGTTTCTTGTTTGCTGTCCTGTGTTGACTGCCCATGAGGAGTCTGAAAATACCATAGCTGGATCAGGTTCATCTTAATCCTCGGACATCTTTGCTCCTTAACACTTTACAAAGAGGGTTTTTTCAGCAGATCTGTCCATTTAACTTCTTGACTGCAGCTTCCAGGAGTGTTGATTGTGGATCTCAGCAAAATGAAATCCTTGACAACTTTCTAGTTTTCTCCAATTAGCCTGAGTTTGCGTCTTGCCCCAGTTGTGAGAATGTTTGTTCTCTTCTGTTGAGAAGCAGTCTGTAAGGAAGGCTGTGGTCCTTGTTTCTTTGTCAGGAAGTGCTTTCAGCACCCACAGCTGTGTCATCATGTCTCAAGATGTTCATGAAATGCGCAAATACCAGGAGTCAGAAAACCAAAGAGAACATACTTGGCATTTCTCAATTGAAAAAAATAAAAACAAAACCCAAAACTCAAGCTTTGAGTTGGAATACAGAAGGAGTCTATGGATAATAACTGAATGGCACCAAAGGCATCAAGAGAAGAGAGAAGGAAAATACAGAGTCACTTTACCAAAAAGAATTTGTTGACGTTCAATCATTTCACATGGTAGCATATGATCATTTTGATTGGGAACTGCGTGAAGGTTTAAAGACCAAATGCGTTCTCCATTTAACAATTCATATGCATTTGTTTCATGTCATTGATTGTAAGCTTCACAATAATAGCCCTGGTCCCACTTCCTCCCTGGGCTTCCCCTTTCTTATCTTCCTAACCTCACTAAACTTGGTCCTTGGGTAAGTGCTGGCATTATTTTATCTCAGATGGCTGATTATGCTAAGGTGTGTGCGCACCACAGTATTGTTGACCTTGTATAGACCTGTTTATTGTGTGGGTGCAAATGGAGCCATGGAAGTGAACTCAGTTTCAAGCCTGAAAGGTGACTAAGGGCCATAGTCTCTGGGTTCCATCAGCCTCTTTCTGACCAGTAAAACTTGTCTTTTTCTATGAATTCGACTTTTGTTCCACATTTTTCTCTCCCTCTACCCAGAATCTTTTAATGTAACCCTTTTAGAGTCATTGGGTTGGTAGTAGCAGCTGAGCACCATCTAGTATTTCTGGTCTCAGGGCCGTAGAGGATGAAATTAATGTGGTTCATTCATTTATTGTACTAATTGTTTCCATGTCTTTGTTTTTCTTCATTCTTTTTTGCTCCAGATAGGGAGAGACAGATATTTGCACCTGAGGTGACCTCTCAGTCAAGTAGCCTAGTATTTTTATCTGAAAAAAAATGTTTCCAATAACTTTTATTTTAAAAGAAATTGAACAACAGAGAAATTCATAATGAAAAAGTTTACTGTATGAAATATTAATTTTTTAATTAGCAAATATTCATGTGCATTTATTGTGCCCTGTATTGACATTTAAGGTTCACTGGACAAAGGAACCATCTAGAAGCTCATTAAATTTATAATCTAAAAACAGATCATAAATATATATTCAGTAATCAATAATAAGAGAAGTACAATCAGTATTGGAAGAAGCACAGCCAGAATGCTCCTCAGACATGCGAATGGCCAGACTGTATTACATATTGCGGATCTAGCAGAGGGACGAGTCCCTGGGGAAAATAGCATGCTTGGTAGAGTGTCAGTGAGAAAGAGGAAGACAGAGTGGCTGCCCGTTTTTAAAGGCAGCACAGACTGTGCGTGGAGGTTTGCAGACTGTGTAACTGGGAGGGAGCAAGAGGAGACTGTGCACCCGAGAGAGTGCTACTGAATCTTGCTTTGGCCTGAGATGGACAGGCAGTACGACTGGTAGGAATTGCAAGGGCAACTGTGTGGAGGCAATTGTTTGATAAATGTGCAGCACAGAGGGAAATGGCTAGCTCCCTGCCCACAGCAAAACTCTCTGGATTTTGATCCTCTACGAGGGATAGAGCAAAACTCTATCCCTGTGCAGGGATAGCCTTGCAAGCACCCCCACCTTTGCCTCAGGGACGTCAAGCCCCATTGCTTATATTGGCATTCTGTATATACCAACTAAGCTATCCTCCCTGTGCAATGAATTTCGGATATCAAGCATCTAGAACTCCAGAATCATCAATTGGAAAAAAAAACCCCAAAAACACAATTAAAAACTAAGGATAGCCATGCCCTCAGGAGAATTTGTATGAAAAGGCTCAGAAACAACAAAAGTCCACAGAGAAGAAGCACACGAGCCTGTGCGAACACGAAGTGTCGAAGGAAACAGGCAGCAGACACCAAAGAACAAAAACCATCATTGTGT